TTCAACCAATCAAAGCAGAATATGCTAATGATATGCTAAGGCCACTCAACTGCTCACTATGACATGCACTGACCACCAGGGGGCAGATGCTTGTAGGTTAGCTTGCTGCTGGGATCCAGATGATCAGGACTGAGCAAGATGGCCAGACAAGCTATGGATTCCTCCTACAGTCCCTCCACAGCTAGCCAACCTCCCTATCCCTTCCTGCCCCGATTGTGCACAGATGAGGTCCTTTGGCCTGGCCTGTGCCCTCTTGCAATCCAGGTTGAGGGATCCCCCTTGCTGCCCCGAGTGCACAAATTTGTGCACTGGGCCTTTAGTATTAGATAAATCTGGCAGTATTTTAAATAAGAACAAATGTTTGACTTCCTTATCTATAAATTATTTGTATTACTTTTTAAAATATGTGGGGTATAACTTTAATATATTATTAAAGATTAAATCAAATATAATTTAAGCACTTTATAAGGATATGGATATAATTATTTGCCATGTAGATAACTTTTTAACTTTAATTCTCATCTTTTTCTGCATTGGACAAAAATACATTTTCTCCAGAAAATAAGAAGAGAAATAACAATTATGGAGCTGTTAAAATGTCTTGTTTTTTCATCCTTTTAGTCCAAAAAGAGCTGTATTTAACATATATATATATATATATATATGTGTGTGTGTGTGTGTGTGTGTGTGTGTGTGTGTTTGATACTTTGAGGCATAATATGAATTTTATTTTCATTTTGCAAAAATTCCAATATTAGACAGCTTCTACCTACCACTTATCTTCCATCTATCTTTCAAGAAGATACACATAGAATATTTATATATTCTTATTTTCTTACTACTGATTGCGTAGTTAATTGTTATTTGACAAATTATACCCGGGAATCAATTATAGTACCTAATATAAAGGCTATTACATAATAAGCACTCTATGAATGCTGTTAGTGGACATAATATTCAGCTATATTCTAAGTACAGTGAGAGATTAGCAAACATATGAATATCAGCATTGAAATACAAAAAGTTTTTTGTGACTATAGATGAATGAATATCTATCATCTATCTATCTAGCTATCTATCTACCTACTTACCTACCTATCATCTACCTATCTACTTACCTCCCTACCTACCTATCTACCATCTATCTACCATCTATCTTCCTATATCTATCTCCATTTATACTACCAAAATGAGGCTGTTTTATAGACTTAGTTAGAAAGGAAGCCAATAGCACTAAAGTGACTTTTTAAATAATGCTTGCAGTCATAATCAGTAACTTTTACATTTGTTAGCTGGTTTTCATTAGCACATTCTGATTCTGGAAATACATTCAACCACTGGTCTAAAAGAGCAAGAGAGGTCACCATAGTGACACCATGATATCACTATGTTTGTAGAGCACAAGTGTTAAGAACGTGATGAATTTGAAAAGAAATTATATCATATTCTATGTTATTGTTACTAGTTATGAGCAAACTAAAAGTTGAAACAAGTAAAATAGTATGGCTAAGAGAATTAAATTGTAAACTACTTCATTTTGCTTAATTAAAAAAAATTGAACCAGGCCATTTAACGAGAGAGTACCTAAATCCTTCTCCCCAACTCACACCCCATCTCTAGGCATCCTATTGATAAAAGCCTATGTGGTCATGATGTCCTTATTCCATGAGGAGAGATCACCAGGAGGCTGTGTGCACAGCGGGTGTGCATGGGTGGGCGGGAGCTTGACACTGTGTGCGCTGCCACAGCTCCTTGGCTCTGTGGGATGAGGCCAGTCTCACAGCTCCATGTGGTGTGTAGGCGAGTCCTGCTGCTCTGGCCTACCTCTTTGGGGCAATCCATCAAGTAGCCCCAGATGGATGGCCGGGGCTACCTCTTTGGGACCATCAGTCATGGGCTCCCACACTATGAGAGGGCACAGACCAGGCTAGGCGTCCCCCCCCTCCTAAGTGCACAAATTTTGTGCACTGGGTCTCTAATACACACACACACACACACACACACACACAGCTAAGTAAACAGAATACACACAAGATAACATAATAATAAAGTTGACATTTTAATAGTTCAGGCACTATTTGAGAAACAAAGTCATAAAAATTTAAAATGAGTTAGGAGGGTATAAAGAGAAAAAGACTGATTTAGTAGATTGGACCTATATAATTATACTCCTAAATTTATAGTAAACCTATTCATATCCTACTATGACATTATTCATTGAAATTCTCTTCTGGATATAGACAACAGGCTTTGAAAATGAAATTTAAAGCAAACCAGATAAAAAGTGATCCTTTAAATGACTTTGCCTTAGGCTGCAAATGGATTTGGGAGCCATTTTATGTTCTCAAACTCCAGGTGTAGACAAACACTTTTCAGATACTTCTCAGACACTCTTTCTCTTCCAGGGTCTAATAAAAGTCACTTTCATGACATTTATAAATCAGTAATTGGAACGTGGCTTTTGCTATCTGCTGCTGACTTTATCAGATGGTTCTAGGGTTCTAATCCTTCACTTCCACTGATTGCTTATCATATTTAAGGAAAGCTACTTAAGTTTCTAAAAATAGATATAATCTTGTGAGAATTGATATGATAATTTGTGTAAATTGCTCAGTGTAGCCTACACCTGTTACTGGTCACGTTGCTGCCTGATTAAAATCCTCCCATGGTTCCTCAGTGTCTTCATAAGACCCAATATCCTCAATATGGCTGGAAGAGCACCTGCATTTTGGCCCCTGTATAAATAACTCTCCTCCTTTAGATCCTACCACTTTGCCTTCCAGGTCTGTTCACTGTAACAATACCAAGTATTTGTTCTTCTTCAATTTTTCATGCTGTCTCAGGCCTTAGCACTCTTGCTATTTCTTTACTACTCCCCTTTCAACAATGAGCCCTCATTCCTCATCCTCCAGGAGTCTTTCATGAGCCATTTGTGCTGAACTAGGGCCTCTTCTCTATGCTCTCATAGCACCTCTTACATATCTCTGTGGTAGTACATGTCATACAATATTGCATTTTTCATTTTCCTTTCACAAATCTAAACTATAAATTACGTGAAGGCAATAGCTCTTATTATTATTTATATCCCCAGAACTCACGCAGAGAATGGCACATATTTAAGTGTCCTCTACATTTTTTTTGCCAAGAGAACAAATATTGCATTGGTGAGTAGAGGACTTTTCAGCTAAGGAATTTCAAAGTACTTTCTTTTATATAACATCGACAAGTATGAGTTGAAATTTAGAATTAAAACCAAATCAAATTTAGATCAGACCTTATTGTTTTCTTATGAGACTGGATTGCCTTGTCTAGACGTGCCAGATGAACACAAATGACTAATTTGGCTTTGGGGCTGAGTTTGTCTGAGAGTGCATTTCTAACTCAATGAAATTATTTTCAAAATGTCATACTTTTCAGAAGTCAGGTTAATTTCTTCCTATGTAAAATAAAGTAAGAAAACTGGGTGCAGGGAGGAAATAGATAGAGCTGTGAGAGTACAACGATGAGACTTTTCCCTGGAGCAAAGTTGCCTTGAGTCGCATCCTTGGCTTTATACCTAGCCTAAGTCTTGACATGTGGTCAGAAAAAAATAGTCAACAGATACCCAACTTATTTGGATATTTTAACATTACTTTTCTTTTATTATTATTATGGTTTGTGATAATTACACTCTTGTCCTAATAATTTCTAGCTTGAAAAGACAACAGTCTCCAGTGGGATTATAAATAACTACCACTGATATTAAACATCCAGGTTATAAGTATTCTTTTTATTCATTAGTTTACTCTCCCAACATTGTGTTCCTTCTTAATTAAACAAGTCAGTGCTTTTTTCACTCTTTCGTTAGATATAGTTGAACCAAAGAATTTCTTATGGATCAATATTGCTCATCAGCATAAAAAAAAACAAATGAAACATTTGTTCCATCACAGAATTTGAAACCCAAGTAGCTTCACTTTGAGGAAGTGATAAACCAGAGAAAAACTGTAGCCTAATTAGTGGTCTTATCCTTAGCATTACTAATAATTCAAATGAAAGAATATTTCATTCTTTCAGATAATGGAGCAATTAAGAGTACAGGCCACCACTTATTACCAGTTGCATGAATCTAAACAAATGGCTCAATTTCTTTAGGCTTTTGTTTTCTCACAAGTAAAATTAGGAAAATAATACTTGTCTCTTTGAAGGGTGAAAGTTTAAATGAGATAATGCATGTAAATATCTCATATCATTTCTGGTATTGTTAGAGGCTCAATAAGTGGTAACTATTATTGCCATTATTCATAAATAATTTTATAATAAATTCTCTATTCTTGAATTCTTATCAATAATGATTAGATATTTAGACATTTTTCTAATCAAGAACATTACAAGAGCCACCCCCATGTACAAAGAGAGGAGTAAGATGAATATTCAAGCCCAAAAAAGAATTCACTGGTAGAGGTGGGCTTAGAATGAATAAGACATTTCAACACTACGTTACACAATGTTGAAACACCTCAGTTCTTCATCTCCCATTTCAGTTGTCAATGTGTTGGGGCCATGGGACTAATTTGAATTTCTAATTAAACCCATGCATCTACATTATACACTTATAATGTGCATTTCAGTGGTGTAACTGGATAAGCCAAAGCTGCATAATATTGAAATAACTGCTAAATAATTTTCTGTGGCTTTATTCTCTCCCAGATTTTCACTAGCCTCATATTATGATGCCAACACTGATGACCATTTAGGCTAACACCACTTACCTACTGAGACTCTGTGTCATAGTGTAAGTGATGAATTCTGCATGAAGAGACTTATTGGGGTCACATTACATGGATAACAGTAAAACATTAACTAACCTGGCCATATCCCCATGTGCATGAACAGAATCCTGTTTGATAAGACTATTAAAATGTTGGAACATTAGATTTTTAACTATCAGGACATTAGATTTCCACTATGGGAATGGTACTAAATGAACATCTAACTCTATATCCTTGTGTGAAACTTACTTTCATCTCCTGTTTCAAATTCAAACTTCTGACTGTAGCCACTGTATCCTGTGGTAGTCCTCACTCGAATATGAAATATGTACTTGGTGGCTGGCTTGAGACCTGTGATGATGACACTGGGGGCCTTGGACCTTGTGGAGGAATAGGTGAGCTGCTCATGCTCCTAGGGACAGAAAAGAAGAAAATGCAAATGAAGCAACTATTCTACATTTTCCCAGAGACAAACAAAGTTAATCTGAGGAATATGCCCAGAATAGCAAAAGTATTGATTAAAAAGAGGTTAATTATGGTTTTCCATAATTTAGTCTTTAGTTATTTATCATGATATGGTCTTGATTTAGAAGTTTATTAAGAAGGCTGATTAATCTTATATAAACTTCACTTGTGTTTCTCAGTGATTTGGACTTCTGACCAAACTCTGAGGCATGGTGGTGTGAGAGCATGTTTACACAGAATGGCAGCTGCATCTTGAGCAAAATGGGCACATCAGATCAGCCCACAGCAGCAGAGAACTGGGAGCGAGGGTGGGAGAAGTCAAGTGCTTGCTATTCACTTCTACCCGCAGGTAGTGCCAAAATACCGGCGCTATCTGTGGGTAGACCTGTGGGTGAAAGGGAACATAAATTAATTGCTTTTTAAAGTTCAAAATCTTTTATCCCAAATCAATTGCTTGGTCCTGAAACTCAGTGATTCCCCAGTACCAACAACTCAAGTTGAGTCAACTGAACACATGAAACCATAAACATGTGCTGTCCCAGACACCACAGTTTATTTTTAAAGATGTACAAGTCACATAGTGACTGTAAGGTAGATTTAAAAATAGTGTGCTCCTAAGGGAGCATCGAAGATGTAGGAAGGTATGAAAGGCTTACCACACTTTTGAAATCTTAGGCAGGCCTGGAGGCTTGGTTCCCAGTCACCTGCAGTTAACTGCCAAACTATGTCTCCTCACTAACAGCAGATTGAGTTGCTGCGGCTGACAGAGTGATCTAGCCTGTCAAGGTTTTTTTTTTTTTTTTTTTTTTTTTTTTTTTTTTTTTTTTTTTAATGATTTCCACCTAAGAGCAGGGTATTTAATTTGACCTGTGCATATAAGTGACTAAACAATATGCTGCTGGTTAGAAAAATTAAACTTTATTCTGTTTTTGTATAGTGTTATCTTATATAATGAAAGCCTAATATGTTGTGTCCAGTCATCCATTCAACCAATCAAAGCATATTATGCTAATGATATACTAAGACTGCTCAACTGTTTGCTATGACATGCACTGACCACCAGTGGGTAGATGCTCTGAATGGTAGGTTAGCTTGCTGCTGGGATCCAGCTGATTGGGACTGAGCAAGACTGGCTGGACATGCCCTGGAGCCCTCCTACAGTCCCTCCCCAGCTGGCCAAACTCCCGTGTCCTTCCCTGGCTCCGATTGTGCACCAGTGGGGTCCCTTAGCCTGGCCTGTGCCCTCTCGCAATCTGAGACCCCTTGGGGGATGTTGGAGAGCTGGTTTGGCCCAATCCCGCAGGCCAAGCTGAGGGACCCCACTGGTGTATAAATTCAATCACTAGGCCTCAAGTTTTTCAATAACCTTATAATTATATTTTATAATGTATCTAAAAAAATGTATTTGTATGAACAACTCTTTGCAGTTCATAGGTCAAATTAGGCCACGGGTCCTTAAGTTAATTAGGCACTATTTTTATGATTAATATGGAGATAGAAGTTATCTCAGGGATGGAAGTGACTTTCAAGGTCATTAACTGAAGCACTCCTTCAATGCTTAAATTCTATCTATAATTTGCCCATCAAAATTTAGCCTTTACCTGAAAATCTCTTGTTCAAGAGATATTCCCAACTAACAAATGAAGTTATAAAAATCTACACACGTGTAGAATGTACCAAGCTGCATTTATTTGCTTGTGATGCTTTAAGATTTAGAACTATGAAAATTCTTTCCCTTAAGCTACTTTTGAGGGGAAAAAGTCCTTATCTTAAAGATCATTTAAAATTTTATGGCTTTATTTGTCAGAATCTTATATGCTACATGGCTATTTGGTGTCTGGCTGAGGAAATGAATTTGCCCTACACCACCAATAATAGAACTGTTTATTAAACATGAAGAACAAAGTAAATATGAGTTAATAGCAGCAAATTTCAAATAAAAAGGCAAAACAGACAAATGTCAACTTATATTTATCTCTAGGTAGTTTTGAGATTAGAAAGTAAATAAATACCCACCTAGCATAAAATCCAAGGAAATAAAATCTATGAAAACATTGATGGCAGCAATCATCTGCTAAGAGCTTACAGAAGGATTTTCTAAGATCAAGGCCTTTATAACTTGGAGTATAAAACCCATATTGTTGAAAAAAAAATGTGTACTAGTAAAAGAGATAATATAATTTCTGGTGAAATTTGCAAAACATTTTGGATTTTTTCTGCCTCACATACAAGAAGAAAAGACTCCATCTTTCACAAAAGTTTTTGCAACATAAGAGTTATGGTATATTTTGAAGTGATGACTGAGAGAAGAATTTTAAAGCACGAAAAATAGAATTTAGTCTTATCCTCATGGAGAGAAGATACAAACTCAAAAATTTGCTCTAGGAATGGCCGATAATGATCTGTTATGTCTTTAATATGTATGCTTTTTGCTGTTTTTAATATGTAGAATATTTTATTTATTTTTATTTTTTATTTTTAAATATATTTTATTGATTTTTCATAGAGAGGAAGAGAGAGGGATAGAGAGTTAGAAACATCGATGAGAGAGAATCATCGATCAGCTGCCTCTTGCACACCCCCTACTGGGGATGTGCCCACAACCAAGGTACATCCCCTTGCCCGGAATCGAACCCGGGACCTTTCAGTCCGCAGGCCACACTCTATCCACTGAGCCAAAACCGGTCCCGGCTGTTATGTCTTTGTTGCTTCACCAAAGCATAGGGGAATAGTAATTTCTTACTTAGTAAAGTTTCAGGGAGGAAAGGGCACATTTTGCAAACAGTTTTTTGCATTCCTGCTGTTAGATACAAAAGTGCATTTGTAGCTACATCTCTGGAATAAAAATCCTCAAGTAAGAAGTGTGCCTATGTGGTTCCCCAGCCTAAATCACAGGCGAGTGGTGGCTGCTGCCTTGTCTTACATTTTGCTACCTCTGAGCATGCTGAAGAGGGGGCTCAGAAGGCAGCAGCCACAAAGTTCCTCCTCCCAGTGTATGCATCCTGGTGTTTCCAAGCTCTTGGGAAACCAAATTAGCACTTACCCGTGATAAGCATAGGCACCATTGTCCCAGAATTGTGGCTAATTGATTTGTTGCTGACACATCAACTCCAGTTCAATGTAACTGCTACCAGGAAAAGACTATGCTTTGCCACAGAACCACCAGATTCTTTATTCACCCTGGCAGGCTGAATTCCGAACATGCTTGAACAGGGTGTGTGTGAGTCTTTCTGGAGTTTGCCATATGGAATGGCACATACATCTTCAACTTTGCTAGTAACACATTTTACTGTTCATAAAACTCTCATATGTTTTTCATGTTTGTTAAATCCATAGCAAAAATCCTCTGCTTGACCTTAATATTATTTCTTTTTGTATTTTTTTTCTTTGTCAAGCTTTCTAGAAGTTTGAATCAACTTTTGTCTTTGTTTAGCTCTCTATTTCTCTATTTCCTACTATGTTTAATATCTGTTCTTACCATAAATTGTTTTCTTCCTTCTATTTCCCTTCTGTTGATTATGTTGTTTTCTAACTTCTCGTGTTTCACGCTTAACTCATTAGTTTTCAGTACAGTAGACCCTTGAACAATGAGTTTGAACAGCTTAGGTCCTCTTATACGTGGATGTTTTCAATAAATGTACAGTCGGCCCTCATATTCTGATTCTTGCAACTGTGGATTAAACCAAATATGGATTGAAAATAGTACTGTTGATCAGTGGTTTGGAATCCTTGGAGTTAGGGGGCCTACAGAATACATTCTCAAATAGCATTTTAAAAAAGAGGCTTTGAGCAATTGCGGATTTTGATATGTATGAGAACATAGAACCAGTCCCCCGTGGATACCAAACTTAATTGTAATTAAGTTTTTGGAGAGTCAAATGGGCAAATTTTCTCCTGTCCAAGGGTCAGCATCTCAAATCCCCAAGGGTCAAATGCATGCATTTTTAAATACATAAGTTTACAAAATCAAAATACTGCACTATTTATATTCCATTAAGTCTTTATATAGTATTAATATTATTAATACTTTCTTAATATATTATTAATAATTTCTAAGAATTTATTAATTTCCAAAATCTATGATTTTTAATATTTGTGTGGCAGACCCAGGATTATTATTCACACGGGTTTATGGGTCAGGGCAGGTTGTCAAAGGCATAAAGTGAAGCTCCAAAGGCATAACCTCATGGGGTGCAAAACCCAGCAGCCTGTGGACAGAGCAGTGGATGCTCACTGCTGAGAGCACTGCTGAGGCACTGCTGGTTTTCTGCATTAATGGGTGTTGAAAGTGAAGTAGCTTGTATTACCTCTCCTTGGATGATAACACAGATAATAACACTAATTATGAATAAAAAATTTAGTAACAATGCACTTCAGTATACTGTTACCTATATTATTTCCTAAAATAAATGCATGTACTAGTATAATTCCTATATATGTATCCACATATATTAAAAAACAGCTCAGAAGCAAACTGTATGGACATAGGGCATTGTTAAATAGGAGACACAGGAGTTGTCTAGAGATATTCATCTTTTCTTATGGTTCTCTTCCTGGGGGCAGACCCTGCATTTAATGTCTTTGCTCCTTCCCATCTGATGGAAATCAAGACTTTTCTGAGAGTCTAATCTTACTGTCTCATAGAATCTTTCTTTTACCTAGAATTCTGAATCTAGCTTTATCTCTGTAAGTGTCTACTCTTCACAGTAACTAAGAGATTCTCTTACTAGAGTCTGGGCCCTGTTAGCATTCAATCTGAAACTGTAACAACGAAGAGAAAGGCTCAGATTCCCAGTTTTTATGGCTGTTCCTTGCTACAATGAGAGGAAACATGGCACATATAAAGAGAAGGCAGCATGTAGAGAATTATGGATCGGAGTTCTCTTTTCTTTGGTCTTGATCTTGGTCCCAGTTCTGTTATGTACTTTGCTAAATCACCTTAAAGAC